ATCTAGAACATGCACCCTTCATCGCTCTGACGTACAGATAGCAAGACACATGCAGCCGTATCGAACAGTGTTTTAGCAAATACATTTTGAAACTGCTTCTGTGTCCAGCCAAACACCGTCAATCCCTAGCGCTCCCCCTTCACAAGTTCTTTGTGGCCATAAAATCTCCGTCCATTCAGTCCACTAACACCTGGTGTGAATGTTCCCTGGATGGTTCGCTATTTTTAAAGAATTGCTAATGATTCTCATTGTTCTGTGACAATGGTGCTTCAGTAGAAGCTTAGTGTAATTCAGAGTGGCCGATGTTATATGGAACACTATGCACTTCAGGATGTAAATTGAATTTATTAACTTATGGGTGTTATCTGTGAGAAAAAGGTATCACTGTATAAATGTAAATAGTGTATAATTACAGTTCTATATATTAAATTCTTTTTAGCGTTGTATATGCAATGGTTTGTTTCTCTGTTTCTGTGGCCAGTGTATTGTTTCTTCTCAATTATTTGAGATATTTTGTGTCAAAAAAATTCTATATAAATTTGAAAGGCCTCACATACTGAACATAAAGAATTTGGTCATTTTCAGGGTTCATTGAGAACTTAAGAGAAAAAAAAATGTTTCAGATCGTAATTTTGATTAGTCTGTTGAGCATCCAATGCTAGTCAAGTACTCCAATATAAACATTAGGTCATGCAATGCACAACATTTACCAAATCATGTTTACACATATTAGGAACTTCACTACTGTTCAAAATTTTGTAGTCAGAATTTTGAAGTAAAAACTTTCCATTCATCAATGAATCCTAAAAATGCATCACACTTTTCATAAAAAAAGAAGCAATTTTCAACATTGATAATGATGAGATATTTCTTGAGCAGGAAATCAGCATACTAGAAATATCTTTGCTTTAATTATATGAGTTAATGAATTGGGTTGCTGTTTTTTCTTGTTTGCTTAGATATATTTTCCTCCATTTCCAGTTGTACAGTGCAGGTGTACTGCACTTTTCCAGATAATGTTAGTACAGGCCATAGTCTAAGAAACAGTGACATTACCTTTGTAAGTTTACTGCAGTTGTAAAGTGATCATATGGTAATATTTTATGGAACTGTATACTCAAGTTTAAAAAAAGAAACTACACAATAGAGTTTTATGAACAGCCTTGTCTCATTTCTAAAATGTCCCATTTTGTGATTAGTTATGCATTTTTAACTTTAATTTTGAGATATAAACTCCCTTGAACACTTCAAATAAAAAAAATAATAAACATTTAATTTGTTCACTTATAACAGTAGAAATGAACCACATTTTCATCACAAGCAAAATCATTTCCTCTACATCACATATCACCATTCATTCAGGTGGAAATGACATTTACTCATGATAAACAAAGATTTATAAAATAGCTGATTCTTTCTCAAACTTTTTCGCTCTATGTCACCCAGCTGTTCAAAGTCCACAGCATTTTATTTTATTAATTTACATTACATTTTCAGGTCTAGAAATCTTTAAAATCACTTTACAAAATGTGATTTTTACACAATGTGATTTGTACAAATTAACTATAATAAAAATTAATATAAATAATAAATAAATAATTTTAAGTCATCCTTGTGGGCCCCAGCCCCTTTGTTGTTATTCACTAGCATATATTTTATTCTCAATAAAATTCTTTGAAAAATACAACACAGTTTTAAAAATACAATAATATTTTTATGATAGATTTTCGTAGTTCAAAATTGGATGTCTGAGCCTGGAACATGGATAAAACACGGTTTCGTAATAAAGACAAACAAGATGACAGTGCGAGTGTTCAATGTGTTTGTAGTGTTCATTTTTACTGAATAGCTAGACTCTACACTTTGCCCTCAACACAGGCCGAGGCTAAAGTTCACCAAGAGAGAGAGAGAGAGAGAGAGAGAGAGAGAGAGAGACCGACAGAGGAAGGGAGGAGGGGATGAAGGAAAAGCAAGTAGCAAAAAAAAAATCACATTTCCAAGCAAAAGGACAACAGGTATCTAGACTTAATACAGGAGCAAAAGAACACTGGAAAACAAACAGAAGAAAAGGATAAAGAAAATGAAAAGAAGCTGTTCATATGAAAGACAGACTACTGAACTCAAAGCCTGAGACAGAGGTGAATACTGAACGTGTGCGATATTGTTTTGGTGTGTGTGTATGTCTGTTTGCACACAAAGAGTGTGTTGGTAATTGCTTCAGTGACACGGACAAAGCTTCTGTGAGCAAAATATAGACAAAAAACGGCCACTTAAACGTGAGAGATGGAGGGAGGAGAGGGGAGGAGAGCAGGAGGAGAACGAAGCAGCCGGCTGTCGGCCTTACAGGAGCAGCTGGTGTGGTCTCTGCTGGGATCAGGGCTGTCAAAAGAGCTGCTGATCCAGGCCATGGGAGATCTGGAGCGAGAACGGACCTCAGCCGGTGCCGAGAGGATGGACCGGGCCGATGGCGAGAGCTCGGAGGAGGGAGACATGGACAATCCACCTCTTATATTCCGTGAGCTGGAGAGGCTGCCGCCGGAGGAGGCCGCGAGGCAGAGGGCTGAAGTTGACCAGCTGTTACAGTAAGTCTCCTGGTGTCTTCTGATCAATCAATCCAAACTCCATGCAAAATGCACATTCTGAACTATCTATTATGACTTCAGTGCCTCGAATGTTGTTCTTCTAAAGAAACATCATCTAAAGTCTGCTTCTCAACTTCATATTTTACTCCACAAATTCTTGATTAAACCTTCTTCTTTTCTCTAGCTCATCTCAGGTCTCCTCTCTTCTAGTCCTTTCATTTGCTTCCTCTCTTCTCTAGTGCTCTGCTTCCCAACTGATGGGATGAATATAAAGGAGGTTCCACCTTTTTTAGTTACTAATTACCCACCATATTCATTATTCTCTGGCCATTTCAAACGTTTTAATAAATGAGCTACAACGACTGGTTAAAATTAACAGAGTGACACAGTGTCCATCGCTCAGTGTGTGTGTTTGTGTACACATGACAGTGGTGATATTGTAAAGATAGTGCTGTTGTGAGGGGAGGTTTGTTTTCTAAGTGTGTGGATCTTTGAACACAGATATAAATGGACTTATAATGCACTTTATTTAAACATCAAAGGGAATTTGTGAGTGATTTGTAAAGGTAAAATGCATTGCTTTTGGATATGTTTGTGTGTTAGTAAAGCTTTGTGTGTTTGTGTTCACGAGGGTTATTTGCAATCTCTTTTACTGGACTTTGGCCCCTTGTCTCTTGCCTTATCTTACAGTGTAAACATTGCACCCTTTCTACCTCTGTATTATCTATCCTTCCTCTTCCCCTCACCTTCTCCCAAAGCTTAATAAAAAGTCTTAATAAAAAGTTTTTTTTACTTAATCAAGATTTTTCTTCAATATGTTAAAAATAAATTGTAAAATTTCTGAATATGTTGTAATTTCAGGAAACAGTGCCATTAGTATACTATGTGTGTTTACTGATATAATTAACATAATAATGGTCTGTCACACAACACATTTATCTCTAACATGGAATATATGTTTTATCTCTTACTTAGAATATATATTTATGTAATAAGTTATAATAATGTATTCATATATTATTTTCTTTCCAATATCAGCCACTTTGGAGCCTGTCTGTCACAATTACATTTTAAAGGGTGTATGTATTAAAAACTTAATTCTAATTGAAATTAAAATCTTATGCTTATATTAAAGACATTTTTCTGTTCCCGACATCATACTTAACTTAATTATCAGTATTCATTATGTTTATTGAGCATTTTATTATTACTATTTAAAATAACTGCTTTCTATTTTAATACATTTTTTAAAATGTAAATTATTTCTGTATTGCAAATCATTACACCAGTTGTCATTCTAATATGCTGATTTGCTGCTCAAGAAAAATTTCCTATTATAACCAATGTTATGTTTTTGTGGAATCCATTTTTTCCTTGATTTTTAATTAACAGAAAGTTCAGAAGATCAGCATTTATTTGAAATAGTCATCTTTGCAACATTATAAATATCTTTACCATCACGTTTGATCAATTTAATGCATCCTTGCTCAAAAGGGTTAGTTCACCCAAAAATGAAAATTCTGTCATTAATTACTCACCCTCATGTCGTTTCAAACCTGTAAGACCTTCGTTCATCTTCGGAACACAAATTAAGATATTTTTGATGGAATCTGACACAGAACAGCATACAAACGTTTACGTCCAGTGGATATGCTACAAAATGGCACCAGGGTGATGCGGAGGAGACAAATTGTTGAAAAAAGTCGTTATTTTTTTTTCTTTTGCGCACAAAAAGTATTCTCGTAGCTTCGTATAATTGCGGATGAACCACTGATGTCACATGGGTTATTTGACAGATCTCCTTGCTACATTTCTGGACTTGGGAACATTTCAGTTGCATTGCTGTCTATGCAGGGTCAGACAGCTCTCAGATTCCATCAAAAATATCTTAATTTGTGTTCCGAAGATGAACGAAGGTCTTACGGGTTTGAAACGACATGTGGGTGAGTAATTAATGACAGAATTTTCATTTTTGGGTGAACTAACCCTTTAATGTGTTGGTGTGTGTTAGAGAGGATTCTTGGCATGTGGCTAAAATGATGAAGACCTACATGCAGCAGCACAACCTACCACAGAGAGAGGTGGTGGAGTCCACCGGCCTCAACCAATCCCATCTCTCCCAGCACCTCAACAAGGGCACACCCATGAAGAATCAAAAGCGTGCCGCTCTGTACAGCTGGTACGTCAAGAAACAGGCAGAGATCAACCAGCGTGAGTATGACCATTTCTTATTTCTCTTACATAAAATTCTGTTTTAATGCATCTTTAAGAATTACACAATTAGAATGAACGATTCTCACACCCTGATCAATGCAGAGTTCACCAATGCCAGTCGAGGTGTCATGTCAGGAGAGGAATCCGGGGATGATGTGAGAAAGGGACGAAGGAATCGATTCAAATGGGGCCCAGCGTCCCAACAAATCCTGTTCCAGGCCTATGAACGACAGAAAAACCCCAGTAAGGAGGAAAGGGAGGGACTGGTGGAGGAGTGCAACAGGTAACGAGTGATCTGGTTGCCATAACCCAAAATGTAGGTGCGACGTAGGTAATAACTGTTGCATGTATATGAGTTTTAGAGCGGAGTGTCTTCAGAGGGGAGTTCCTCCATCTCAGCTGGCTGGCCTGGGTTATAATTTGGTCACAGAGGTTCGTGTATATAATTGGTTCGCGAATCGGCGTAAAGAGGAGGCATTTCGCCACAAACTGGCACTGGACGTGCCCTACAGCAGCCAATCAGCTCCCTTGACAGGCCAGATGCTACCATCCAGTCCTTTAACAGGTATGACGTCAATCAGGCCCATACCTGTCCCATCTGTTGACTGATATTCTGTTGCATATAAAATAACCTTTTTAATGACCAATGGGTTGATTTTTAATTAATCTCCCTAGATTTCTCCCTAAATCTGACCTGTTTTACCCACCTTTCTATTTGCTGATATCCTAAAGTTCTGAAGTACAGTCAGCCAGTGGTGTGTGAGAGTCTGGGCACAGTGAGAAGCTCCGGTGGTGAAGACAGAGGTCATCTAGCCAGTCCAGTCCAGCTAGAACCCAGTCATACACTCCTGGATACACACCATCACAAATCAGTGAGATTCCTTTACACTATTTTACACACATCACCATACATCAGTGAGATTAAGGGAACAGTTAGTGACTTAAGTGATCACTCCCTGCTGAAAACCCCCCCCAGCTAAAACCAGCCTAAGATGGTTGACTGGTCTTAGCTGGTTTAAGCTGGAAGTAGCAGGTTTTAGCTGGTCTCCCAGACTGGCTAAGCTGGTTTTAGCTAAGTGGCCAAAACCTCTCTAAAACCAGCCTGCTGACCAGCTATGACCAGACTGGATGACCAGCTAAAATCAGCCAACAAGATTAGGCTGGTTTTAGCTGTTTTTTTGCTTTCATCTCGCAATAACGGCAAGCAGGTTGGAAATGAAGTATGAACAAGAAGTTCATACAAGAAGTTAATATTAAGTGACTTATATATACTGTATTGTCTGTCTGTATTTAACCAACGAAAATAGTTCCAAATCGATAGCAGGATCATCAGGCATCTCCGAGCAACACACAGCTGTTTGGCTCCTGAATGAAACTGTGTTTTGAACGAATTGCTTGAGTGAATGATTCAATAACCCATTCATGAAATCAGCCACTTGCTTCGTTCCAGAATGAATTCTTTTGAAGTTCTTTTGAACAAATCAAACGATTCAATGACTCACTCGATAAGACACTGACTTGACGCCAACTAGTGGCGGTTTTTCACATTTAAAAACACCATTTGGGGGAAGTCGTGGCCTAATTGTTAGAGAGTCGGACTCGTAACCCAAAGGTAGCGGGTTCGAGTCTCGTACCGGCAGGGATTGTAGGTGGGGGGAGTGAATGTACAGCGCTCTCTTCCACCTTCAATACCACGACTGAGGTGCCCTTGAGCAAGGCACCGAACCCCCAACTGCTCCCCGGGCGCCGCAGCAAAAATGGCTGCCCATTTCTCCGGGTGTGTGTTCACGGTGTGTGTGTGTGTTCACTGCTGTGTGTGTGCACTTTGGATGGGTTAAATGCAGAGCACTAATTCCAAGTATGGGTCACCATACTTGGCCACATGTCACTTCACTCACTCACTCGTTTCATTTTTTCCCATTTCTTATTTCTAAACATTTATGACTCTCTTTGTTCTGCAGAACACACTGTTTTTGTCCATACCGTGAAAGTTATGGCGCTTTTCCACTGCATGGTACGGCACGGTACGGTTCACTTTTGGGGGGTTTTCCACTGGGTACAGTACCTGGTACCTGGTAATTTTTTTAGTACCACCTCGGTTGGGGTTCCAAGTGTACCGTACCGTTACCAAAACGTGACGTGTAAACTCTGCTGATCACGGATTGGCCGGAGAGAACCATCACTACCTGCGTCACTGAACTTGCAACACAAACACAAAAGAACCGCTAGATTTAAATCAGCACAGCCAGCGAAGGATCGAACGCAACTGTTTTGAAAAACAAAAGTGGCTGTTCCCCTGTTGAGGAAGTACAGACGGTCCTCTCGTTGATAGCAGAGGAGCGGATCCAGCGAGAGATTGATGGGGCGACGCGGAATGAAAAGGTTTTTTAGGAGTCGCGGCAGTAGAGGCGGCGCAACTATAACGACATGTGATTAATCCCGCCCATTCTAAAGCGATACTAAACTGCAGTGGAAACGCAAACCGAGCCGAACCGAGCCGTGCCGTACCGTACTGAGCCGTACCGAGCCGAGTCGTACCACGCAGTGGAAAAGCGCCATAAGTGTGGTCCAAAACAACACTGGACTCCACTGAATTTCATTGTATGGACAAAAACACTGAGACTTTTAAATCTTCATTAAATGATGACATCATTTTCATTTTTTCCCCTTTGCTATGCATTTAAGGCAAATGGAAGCTGAAACCTGAAAGGCAAATTTTCCATTTTCTCTCTTAGGCATCTGGCGGTGGCTCCTTACCTCCTGTTAGTACTCTCACTTCCTTGCATGGAGTGTCAGGATCCTCTGCTACTCCTCCAGGACTGATCATGCCAAGTGTTATGAGTCTGGGGGACTCCTCACTTTTCATAGGTACAATCAGGGCCGTTTTAACCATAGGGCTAGGCGGGGCTGAAGCCCCGGGGCCCGAGCAAGGAGGGGGCCCGTGATTGGCTGTGGAGTAGATTGACTGGAGCGCCGATCGCCAAAGCTACCAAGCCCCCCATTTATTAGCGCTATTTAGTTGAGCTTTTCCGTAAATTCCATGCATTACCATTTGAAATTGAAACGTAAAGTCTGAATTTGGTTTACCAATCAAATGCATTTATTCTATATTCGACTTTTGAACGATATGCGCACGTATCTATCAGGTGATTGCTGCCCAGTAGCCTATGTCTGCATTCACCTCTCTTCACTTAGTTCTGGAGTAATCTGGAAATGGTCACGCAAAGAACAATTCAATAAGTAAAAATGTCAGCAATTCTAAAAGAGAGAGGGGCTTCAAATACAAACGACATAAAAAACATGACAGCTATCAGGTTATTTTACTAAAGCTGATGATGGAGTGGAAGTTGCCGGAAAAGCAAGTGAACCGGGCACACGGAGCAGACAAAAACAGTGTCATCGTCCACACAGATTTTAGGTTAGTTTGATTATTAACTGGATTTATATTGTTTTTGTGTTTGAACAAACTATATTCATTTAAGGGTTGGGAGATAATCCGGTAGAAATATATCAATCGTTGATTGAAGAGCGTCATGATGTAGTCTAAGCTTATCATTTCAAGGTGTTTTAAAACAAATGGTTTATACTGTTCACGGACATTACGCTGCGGGGCAGAATTCATTCTGGTAAATGCGTGCGTTAAAACGGTTTCTACCTGATACACCTGCTCGTATTACTGACTAAACTTTCGCTCCTTGTGCTTAAACGCTCAAATACACATAGTTATGTGTCAAAATGCCCGTCTTTGCGAGTATCCTCGTAAACACAGTTATTTGTGTCTTAAATGAATGTTAATAGTAAAAGATAAAGCATGTGTTAGGCTATATGAGATCCTTCTATATGATGAGATCTTAAAATGATATTCACCCAAAAATGAAGATACTGTCATCATATATACTTACCCTCAAATTGTTCTAAACCTCTATGAATTTCCTTTTTCTCCTCAACATAAAAGAAGATATTTTGAAGAATGATCGTAACCAGTTTCTGGTCCCAACTGACTCCAATAGTGTTTTTTTTCCTTTTTCTTCTTCTTCTCATATATGGAAGTAGTGAGGGCCCAGCAACTGTTTGAAGCTTATTTTTACTTAGGCTAGTATTATTTTTTATTGATATTGAAATTGGTAACAAAAATTATGAAATTTCAGTGCATCAAGAATTTTGATATGGTATAAAAATCCTATTTAAAGCATTATATATATATATATATATATATAAGGTACCTATATATATAGGGTAAAAGCCGCCTTTGATATTATTTTCATCTAAACCAATAAATGGCACAAAAACGTGGCGTAGCACTTTCCAAAACATCCGTTTTTAAAGATGCACATGTATATTTGTCTGATCTTTGACGCGATGGCGCGCAGCAGTGCAAAGTTGATTCTGTGCTTACTTGATCTAATATGTTATGTTTTTAAAAATGTTGTAGATTTAAGTAGCAAATGAGAATCGCTAAAATTAATGTATATATCTTGAGAGAAAGGTCTTCTTTGTGATTTTCAGTTTTGTTTTAGATAATTAAAGCAATAGTTTTTAAATAAGGAAAGAATATGTAAAAGTATGGTATTTTAGCCCCCTGCTGTTGGGGCTAAAGGCGCACAGTAATTAACATGATAATTAATAGATGGCTGACTTTTCCATTTGTTGACCTGACATGGTTAGATTCAGATGGTAAAGATCATATATTATTTTGGGTGTCCGTATTAGAGATAATCACCATGTTTAGAATGAAACCATCATATTTAAAAACATGATATTAATCATATCATATAATAAAATATAGTTTGCTATAAATATATATTCAATTATTATTGGATCTCCTTCAATACTTTCCTGTATATATATATCTCATTATTTTGATGGGGGCCCGGCAGTAAGTCATAGCCCCGGGGCCCAGTGCGGTCTTAATGCAGCCCTGGGTACAATGCATATATAGTAATCTGCATTAATAGTTTAACACCAACACACTGCTAATTAATGCTAACAGATGTCTTTTATTGTAGGCTTGACGTCCTCTCAACCACAGACGGTCATCAACAATGTAGGGGGAGGTTTTACTACCCTTCAGCCAATCTCATTTCAGCAGCAGCTTCACACTTCAGCTCAGCAGCCAATAGTGCAGCAGCTTCAGAGTCATATTGGTCCAAGCTCCTTCATGGCAACAATGGCTCAGTTACCATGCCACAGTAAGTTCTTAATTAGAGGTCTGAGTAATTCATTAGTGGTGCATCAAGACAAGCATCACTATTATTTGGTGGACATTTGAACTGACTTGAAAACTTCTAGCAATGCTCTAGAAACCACCCAGAACAGTGATTTTTAAATGGACAGACCTAGTTTTTCTCATTTCAGAAAAATAGTGTGGACTTCACCAAAATTCTGCTGTAATACTGTGTGTTTCAGTGTACAGCAAAGCAGACCTGAGCTCTTACCCCTCCTCCAGTCTTCTGTCCCAGGCTATGGTCATCGCAGACAGCAACAGCATTGGGACACTGACTAACCTCACAGCTCTTCGACAGGCATGAGCCAAACGCAAACTCATCATACTGACATGATTACATGCACATCATTTTCAGATTAAGGGCTATATAACGGGCTTTATATAGAAGAAAGATTTACATGTTCCACAGACTTTGGCATATTCATATGAATATGGCATTCAGCTTATCCTGAATAAACTAAGAAATTAATTTACCCATAACAACTTTTGCCATGTGCACATGTAAATTAATATTCTGTTACAAAATATGTTCCACATAAAGTGTAAAAATGATCAGTAGACAAAAAGGAATTTATCTTTAATTTATTTATCTATCTTTAATCTATTCATTACAGCAATTCAAAGCAAAACAGTATTTGAGGAATTCAAGACAACTCTTCAGTCCTCAGGTAAAACAGCATGTGAATCTACAGCAACTCTTTTAAATGCTCTATCATTTCCTCTCCATCAGATTTTCACCTCAGATCCTGAGGGTCATGCTGAAACTCCTATTGAAGAGGAGTCTTTACATCTGCAGTCCACTTCACCAGAGCCAGGTACAGACCCTCTCAGACCTTGTGTTTAATCTAACCATATTCAGATGATACTGATATATAACCATTCACCATCTCTGATTATCTTTTAATTAAATTTCCAGTGTCTTCCGGCAGTTTGGATCTCTACCCTCAGACACAGACGAATGAAACCCATCCTTCTCACCTGCTCTCCTCTCCACCCGGAGATATAGACCCTTACATCACACAGATGGTCTCTACTGCACAATAGCTGCGGCTACTGATGGAAATACCCCTGAGAGCTGGTGCATATAAGAAAACTAACTTTTTAAAATACACTGGAGAGCAAAAATAAATGAAATAAATAAAACAAAAATTAACAGTCCTTCACAAAAAAGGGGAAAAAAAACTTTAAAATCCATATTATTAAAACCTTTAAATTATGCTCCATAAAAGAACTGAGTACAATTCAAAATGGAATCTTATGTGAACATTAGCATGTATATAATTAAAATTTTAGATTTCAAATTGTGTGACTGTAATAAATTACAGTAAAATTATAAATGTAATTGTTTTAGATTTCTTTGTCTGGTCAGGCTGTAAGACTGATTAAAATGAATAAAAAGTCTAGAAAAATAGTAAAATGGTGAAAACATGATTCATCAGACCTGGCCACCTTCTTCCATTGCTCCGTGGTCCAGTTCTGATGCTCAAGTGCCCACTGTTGGTGCTTTCGGCTGTGGACAGGGGTCAGCATGGGCTCCCTGACTGGTCTGAGGCTATGCAGCCCCATACGCATCAAACTGCAATGCACTGTGTATATTCTGACACCTTTTAATCAGAACCAGCATTAACTTCTTGAGCAATTTGAGCTACAGTAGCTCATCTGTTGGATCGGACCACACGGGCCAGCCTATTATCTATATTACTGTACTGTACCTATGTGTACATGCAACTTTGTATGAAACCAAATGATGAGTTTGCTTACGTTCTTCATCTTCATCTCTGTTTTCAGACTGATCAGGTTCAAAACACTTCTGAAATGTAACTACTGTGCATTTGTAAAATTTGTATGACAAGCTGAAGATACTCAGTAGAAATAACAGGTCTTGTATGGGTCTCAACCATCCAAAAAGGCTCCTACCTTTTTTGCCACATGGGATTGAAGTTCTGGTGTTGTCCCAAGCTCATTCCCATCATGTTCATGATTTGAAACATTGGTTCTGTGTAACAAATTTAACTGTGTAACAAATTTTAAAATTTAACTCACTACAAAATAACCACTGAAATCCAATCTCAAAGTGTTGATTATTCATACTGACCAGTAGCGTAGCGCAAATCTCTAACACAGGGACAAGTGAGTAAAGATTGTTAGAGGAGAATATCATATCCAGATTGCTCACTAAAACATCCAGGTGTCCTTCATTTCGTTAAACAAGAAAATAACCGAGATGAAAAGTCAGAAGACCACGACTTTGCAGTTTCGAATGCTCTTCTCTCACTGGATCAGGAGACTTGTGGATATACTGGGGCTGGCGATGGTGAGTGCATCCTCTCCATTATACCTGTAAAGGTGAAATCAAAGAAGAGTGAAAAATCAGTAGAGACTTATCCTTTCCTAGACCCAGGAAGCACAACCACTTTTTGCACAGAAGATATCATGCATTAACTGAACATACAGGGCAAGAAGACTAATTTTCTGCTTTGTACTATGGGTCAACAAAGAAAGGTGCGGGGATACTTGCTGTCTGACTTAAAAGTTTGTGGTTTAAAAAAGAATACTTATATCGATCTACATAATGTCCTGACTCAGCAACACTTGCCTGTGAAAGAAGGGAACATACCTAAACAGGAGGATATTGAGAAATGGCCTTACCTGCATGAGGTTCGTCTTCCACATATTCAGGCTGCAGTAGTGCTACATATTGGAGTGAATTCTCATATGGGCATGGAACCATGGAAGATGATAAACAGCAGAAGCAACGGGCCTTATGCAGTGAAGACAGTTCTTGGCTGGATAGTCAATGGACCGAAAGAAGAGAGCATCTAGACAAGAAAATCTGGTATACAGAGCTGTACAGTGAATCGCACATCTGTGGAGATGATTGAAGATTTGCTGATGAAGCAGTTTAATCTTGATTTTCCTGAGAGTCGTTATGAGGATAATTCTGAAATGTCTCAAGAAGACAGACAGTTCATGATGTCTGTGACCAAGTCTACTCAACAGCGTCTCAAGAGCCTTCAGACTCAAAAGGAATCCTAGTTCCATGAGGACTACACCGGATTTATGAACAACATAATTGAGAAAGGGTTCACTGAGAAAGTACCGGATGAGAATTTTGCACCTTGGTGATGGAAAGGTGTGGTTTTCATTCCACACCACGGGGTTTATCATCAGAAAAAGAAAAAAATCTGTGTTGTCTTCGGCTGTAATGCATCTTACCAAGGATACTTCAGTTACTTCAAGGGCCTAACCTCACCAACACGCTTATTGGGGTGTTGACTAGATTCTGTGAGGAGCCGATTGCAATGACAATGTTTTATCAGGTTTGAGTACCTAGTGAGGATGCAGACTTCCTGAGGTTTCTCTGGTGGCCAGATCAACCTAGATCAAGATGACGAGGAGTACAGGATGTGTGCACACCTGTTTGGGGCAACGTCTTCACTGAGTTGTTCTTGTTACACTCTTCAAAGAACAGCAGAAGATGAAATCAACGACACTACTCCAGAAGCAACTCAGGCACTCTTGAAGAATTTTTACAATTATGATTGCCTTAAA